ATTAATATAGGAACAGACGCTTATTTTGATAATGATACGGTCCTGGGACAGTTTGAAAGGCTATTTCAAATGCTAGAATTCAAACAAGAATACAAGCATAACCAGATAGAAATCGTTGTCGACAATGCAAGAACTCACACTGCGAAGTCATACTCATTACAAGAATTTGGTAAAAATATTGGTACTCGTTGTCCTGTTGAACAAATCGAATATGTTGATGAAAATGGCGTACAAAAAGTTATTGATTGTTATTTTAAAGGGGGAGAAAACAAAGGTAAATCAAAAGGTTTAGTTGAACTATGTAAAGATATGGGTGTACAATTACCAGCTAAAATTAAATTAGACGACATTCGTGATATACTTTCAACGCATCGAGCTTTCCAAAATGCTACAAAACTTGAGATGCTAGCAATTAACCCTTTGAGAACGGGATTATTTTTTCAAAAAATAATCACGCAATAGTAGCGACACCCCTAACTCAAGAGCCATGATAGCTAAGTACTTCTAATTTTGTGTGATCATAGCTCTTACCAAATGCTGATCACCCACCAAGTTTGCACCTCTTCTACTGGATGGTTCATGAGATATAAGCAATTTCTTTCTTTTCCGTAAAATGTCAATAACTCCTGACCTAAGAGAGATGAAAGCTGTTTCTTTTTACAAAAATGCAGCCACACTCTACTCTATCTACGATATGAATTTTGTGAGTTGGCTGTTAGGAGTCAGTGAAATATAGCTGTTTTACGGAAGAGGTTAGCTTTTTTTTGTTGAAAATTCGAGGTTCTTTGCGAAAAGAAATTCACAACTCAGTCTAAGAGCATCATTTTGGCTTCAAATTCGTATCAAAGACTCTACAGTGTCTGTAGATTATCTAGCCAAAGTATGAAGGTTAACTATTGTGTGATTCTGAAATTCATTAAGGACGAGGACTCACGATTGAAACATACGTAGAAGGGCGGTGGTGATGAACTAACGGTCGCACTTTCTACTATAGAATTTGCAATCCATGTACATGGTAATCATGGAAAAATAATCATGAAAGCCTATGGTTCGAAAAAACGTTGGTGAAACTTTTGTAAGAAGGATTCTCACAGAAGGATTTTTCTCAAAGAAGGATTCTTGTCAGAAGGACACTCACCTCTAACCTAGAGAGAAAATTTTCAAATGAAATTGAAAAGCGAGTTTTAAGTATGCTATTCGACCCAGTTTTGTCTGCTGATCTCAAATATATTATTATTTTTGCTAGAAAATATATGGGAAGTGAGGAAGATGCAAAATAAGTGAAGTAACGAAGGTTTTATGTACTGCCCGTATATATACGGGCCCCGTCACCAAAGGGTTAAATATAAAATTAAGATTATATACTGTCCTAAGTATCATTGCGAACTGAATGCAATCGAAGGTCTTTGGTGCAATCAAAAGGCATTTGTTCGCTCACGTACAGATCAAAGCTTCGATAAAATGATAAAATTAATATCGGAATCACGTATAAACTTTGTTGAACGAAAAATTGCATTGAAATTATTTCGACGTTTCTGGCGCGCAATCGAAGCATATTCTCAAAGTCAAACATATGCTGATGTATTACAGCTGTTTTTTGGTCAACTCTGCAAAACAACAATTCAATCTCATCGCAAAATAACAAATACAAACATAGACGAAGACTAATGGAAATATTTTTCCTATTTGAGCACTTTTATGATACCTATGATACCACCCTAGTGAAAGTACCCATACGATGAGTACGACTTTACTCATAATTCGTCCATGAGTACTCATATTGGTACTACTAACAATTTCTGAGTATTGTTACTCAGTGAGTACTCAGGAAATATTCATTCATCATTTTATTTTGCTAAACTG